GGTTCACTGACTAACTGTCACAATTAACGAAAAGTCGAGTCCTAATAAAAATTGGGCTTGTGTATGTAAGGTTCGTCAGACAAAGGAAAAATAGTTAACGGATGTGCAGGCTGTCCCACAACGCCCTTGCGAAAAGTCCCCGCATCTTCGCTTTCGACCACAGTCATTCATCATAAGGACACCGTGGAAAATGCCATCAATTGTCTAACCACTGAAGTGGTAAGTCAAAAACAGTAGAGGTAATTCATTTTGTTGAATGAAATACCTTTACAACTAATGAATTTCATTGATTGTAAGCATTTTTAAACCTTGTGTTATACCAATTCAAAAAGTATTTTCCATTTTTAATTTTAACTTAATATAATTGACTGAAATAATTTATTTTGCATAATATGAATGTGCTAATGTTTATTTAAAAGTGCTCATCGATATTTATAAGTGAACTTCATTATAACCGGACAGAAAAAGCAAAACATAGTTTTGTAATAACTGCTTGATAAAGAGGCACATATGTTACACTTTCTTTGCGATTGTGAATCACCTGTTATTACACTNCATTAATAATATAAATATAAAAAATCTACTGGATATATAACTAATATTAAATTGTGTCAATAGGTTTCCATTAAATCATAATAAATGTACAGGGAGAGGGTAAATCAAATGGCCACGAAACGTAGGGAAGCAGAACCCCAATCACGCTTCTTTCTCTTGAGTTTGGAAAGGGTAAGAAATCTTTAAATGTTTTATGAAGTGTTGTATTTATGAAATGAATACGATTTTCCAAATCTAGTACTCCATTTATTTGACAATAATTACCACTATAAGTTTTTACACTTGTGAATTGTAATAGTTTTGTAAAAGTATTTGTTTTGATGGAAGTTATGCTTCGTAAATATTTTAAAACATGATTTAAAATGAAGCTAACATAATATTGTTTCGACAGGATGCATGCAGAAAATAAGAAGGATTCATAACCTGGAAAAGTGGAGCCCCTTTAACGTTTAAGGTTACAGTGCCACATGCGGCTTATTTCACTTATTTCCTTTCATTAGCATCTACTATTAAGAGGCACTTGGGAATAAAACGAGTACCGTACAGTAGATGAGCTATTGTTTTGAAGTTACTCAGTTTACATAGTAATTTACCACCTGTGACATCTATGGTTTTACAGTTATCTACTGTTCACAGCATAAATCGATGTTATCGTGCATCTATGGGTTTCTCTTCTAACTATTGTCTACTGTTTAAATTGACATCGTGCATCTACGGTTATTTGTATTGTCTTCATCGACTTTTACTAATGTATGTCTATGATTGCCTTTAACATTTATTTATGACATGAATAAAATTGATATTCGTCGCCATTTTATAATAAGCTGTTTTGCTCGTGTCTTTGTACGTTAATTATATTACAAATTTAAACATCCCTTCTTTAGTTTATAGTATAACTGATATTTTTTTTTGTCCATTTCTCCAGATCTAACAAATGGCAGAGAATAAAAGGTTGATGGTACTGAAGCAATCGAAATCTACAATGGTGTTGCCTTTGGTGGACTACATTCTTGATTTGCTGTTTTCGTCTTCACCTTGCAACATTATGCAGTTAATTTTCAAGTGAAGAGTGTGAGCAACTGAAGATTGACGTGAATTAAACACTAAAACAAATTTCTGCATTGGCATTCCTCCTAGATTTGATTTGCTTTTCACACCTGTAAACTTTGGAACATTACGGCCTACAGTTAATTAAGGTGAGAATACTTGATATAATTCATTTTAATTGCTCTATATTAATCTGTTACCACCGTATCTGTTTCAGGTCGACGTTGGAGAAGACAAAGATGACCCCATAGTTGAAATAGTTCTTTTATCTTGCATGCTCTGTTTAGTAGAATTCATTAAGTTGATTTTATTCAAATTAATTTTTTATTTTGCATGTTTTTTTTGTTTTCTGTAGTTTCTTGTAGTTAATTTGAATTAGTTTTTATCTTGCATGTTTATTTTTGTTTATTTTATTTGAAGTAATTGTTGATTGTAGATGTTTTTGTTTTGTATGTATTAGTAGAAATAACACGTTTAGTAGTTGTAGTATAGTCTAACCCTGCTTAACTCTTCGCTTAGCTTACTGCATATTCTTACTATAAATTGCTTTGCATTTACCCTACGAGTTCTACATGATTCAACGTTTCGTTATCGTGTGTGTTTCTTCTCACCCTTGTGGAATTAGGGAGGGCCTCCCCGAACGACTTCCCTTGGGCTTAGCTATTTAGTTGATCTTAAAAGTGTCTTATACACTTTTCGCGAGTCTACTCTAGCGTTACTTCCTTTCAGACAGGGTACAGTGGGTTATCTGGAATAGGAGCAATAGGCGACTGCCCAGCTTGCCTTGGCGAANACCCTGTCTGAAAGGAAGTAACGCTAGAGTAGACTCGCGAAAAGTGTATAAGACACTTTTAAGATCAACTAAATAGCTAAGCCCAAGGGAAGTCGTTCGGGGAGGCCCTCCCTAAGTCCACAAGGGTGAGAAGGAAGACACACGATAACGAAACATTGAATCATGTAGAACTCGTAGGGTAAATGCAAAGCAAATTAGTAAGAATATGCAGTAAGCTAAGCGAAGAGGTAAGCAAGAGACATGTTAGACTACACTACAACTACTAAACAAGTTAGTGCTACTACTACACTACTACTACAAACAAAAAAAAAATAAAAACATTTACAATCAACAATTACTTCAAACAAAATTAACAAAAATAAGCATGCAAAATAAAAAGTAAATCAAATTAACTATAAGAAACTACGAGAAACTACAAAAAAAAACAAAAAAACATGCAAAATAAAAAACTAATTTGAATAAATCAACTTAATGAATTCTACTACTACTTAACGAATTCTACTAGACAAAGCATGCAAGATAAAAGAACTATTTCAACTATGGGGTCATCTGTGTCTTCTCCAACGTCGATCTGAAACAGATACGGTGGTAATAGATTAATAAAGAGCAATTAAAATTAAGTATATCAAATTTCTCACCTTAATTAACTGCAGACTGCAACTGTTTGCAGGTGTGAAGAGCAAACCAAATCCAGGAGGAACACCATAGCAGAAATTTTGTTGCTCCATTTGAAATCAAATAAATCCTTAGTTGCTCCCACTAATCGGTCGAAAATCAACTGCATAGTGTTGTGAAGTGAAGATGAAAAAATCAAATCAGGAACAAAGTCCAGAAAAGACCACACCCGTGTAGACGGTTGTTCGAGTAGCGCCAAACTGAACTCATTTGTTGGGAAATCTGCAGAAATGGGCAAAAATATATATTAATTACACTATTAATTAACGAACTAAACACTCCTAAAAATAAACGACAAAAAGCAAGTAAAATAGCTGAATTATAATAAAACGGCGACAACTGACATTTTACATCATGACTGTAGATCATGCATGTCATAAATAGACAATCACAGATGCACAATGTCAATTTATGTGGGCAATAGATATTTAAAGAAATGAAATACTGTAGATACACGTTAATGTTGATTGAAACTGTGAACAATAGATAATTAGTAAGAAAAATTATCCATAAGATTAATATAGATCAACTAATATGGCATAAACAGAAGCAGCATGGCATACATTCTCACCTTAATTAACTGCTGAAAGTAGCGTTTTAAGGTCGACAGATGGAATGAACAAACCAAATCCAGGAGGACAATTTGTTGTTTCAATCATTTCCAAATTAATTTCCAGTTGCCTTCCCCTCTAAGGATCAAAATTAACTGCATTATGTTGCAAGGAGAAGACCCTTCAGTACTATCAGAATTAACGGTAATTGCTTCTCACTTCGACAATCTATAGAAACAGATAAGAAAACATGGTTAATTATAACTTTTAAAGCAAGTAAATTAGAAATATTTTAATGTGGTGATATGGTATTAGTTAGAAGCTAACTTTCACTCTGGTGGAAAGGCCAATTTCACATTGTTTCTGCCACTTCTAAAGCGTGTTTAAAAGTTATCTGATAAGAGTAAGTTACAAATGCCTAAGAAATTGAAGTTTTTGGGACCTGGATTATTTTTAATTGATGCTGTTATTTACCAGTTTGTTGTCATAAATTCTTCCTTTAGCAATACCACACTGTATCCACTCCCAATGGAAAAAAGGCACTTTCATGCTTCATTTTAGGACAGCTACTTTCTGGATCGAATGAACACTGACACAATCAATGCACTGTAAATTAATGCCATCCAGTTTTTTTAATGTTCCTGTGAAATTAATTCGGTAAAATTAATTCTTACGAAAGAGTATTCAGATATAATTAATTTAGCCTCCTCAGTAAATAACGTGCATGACACAATACTAATGTTAATATCAAAGAAATATACTAATTATGGTATGTATGCTCGCCGTAATTAATTGGAAGATCCTCCAAAATGAAACGAATACCATGGTAGACAACTTGCTTTTTCAGTTGCATCAAAATGAACACTCTTCCACTCGTATCATCTGTAAAAATAGAGAAGAAAAACGAATAAAGTACATTATTAAACAATTAAACATGAAATACAGTGAAAATACACGCCCAAGAGCAAGTAAAATTGTAAAATTTTAAAAATGGAGATGAAACGTCGCTTTTAATACAAGAACATAGATAAACAAGAACAAGATGCATCATGAATTCATAAAATTCATAGATTCATATAATTGTTAATGTTCTAGGCACATAGATAACTGTGAAGGAAAAGACTATAGAGCATACATGAAAAAAGAAATTACCAAGACTAATAATTTTACGTTTAAATAAACATAAACATTGGTGTAATATAATATTTAAAATTAAAATTCGTCTATTCCTAAAATTCGTTACGTCAGTTACTAACATGTTACTGATGTAGGTATTCTTCTCGACATTTATTTGAATATTTGTTCTCTATGGTATACCAGTGCCTATGCAACATAGCATACACGGAGGATACATAGATTGCATAAGTTAGGTATTTTAAAAACACTAACAACTATTACCTGTTAAAATAAAAAACTAAATTTTGTAAATTTTAAGAGGAAAACCATTGTGAAAATTTTCTTAGGCTTTAGCAGTGTAAATTCCTTTTAAGCACGGGTTGTAGTAAAGATTTATTTAAATGCACTGCATAATAACTGGAATATAGGTTAGAGATTATAATTTCTTATTCATTTATGAACAATGCATTCCACTGCTGTGATTTAAATGAAAGCTGTTTCACTTTTACTAATTTACATTTAATATTCTTCGATTAAAATTAAGGATGGGCTTGGAATCCGAGCCTATTTCTTTGTGGAAAAATGACTGTAAGTAAATGAAAAATATAACCTTGCTCACTCATTTTTTTTTTGCTTTTTTCAATATCAACCTGTGCAGTATGTTAATTACAAGAAACTACAGAAAACAAAAAAAAAACATGCAAAATAAAAAACTAATTTGAATAAATCAACTTAATGAATTCTACTACTACTTAACGAATTCTACTAGACAAAGCATGCAAGATAAAAGAACTATTTCAACTATGGGGTCATCTGTGTCTTCTCCAACGTCGATCTGAAACAGATACGGTGGTAATAGATTAATAAAGAGCAATTAAAATTAAGTATATCAAATTTCTCACCTTAATTAACTGCAGACTGCAACTGTTTGCAGGTGTGAAGAGCAAACCAAATCCAGGAGGAACACCATAGCAGAAATTTTGTTGCTCCATTTGAAATCAAATAAATCCTTAGTTGCTCCCACTAATCGGTCGAAAATCAACTGCATAGTGTTGTGAAGTGAAGATGAAAAAATCAAATCAGGAACAAAGTCCAGAAAAGACCACACCCGTGTAGACGGTTGTTCGAGTAGCGCCAAACTGAACTCATTTGTTGGGAAATCTGCAGAAATGGGCAAAAATATATATTAATTACACTATTAATTAACGAACTAAACACTCCTAAAAATAAACGACAAAAAGCAAGTAAAATAGCTGAATTATAATAAAACGGCGACAACTGACATTTTACATCATGACTGTAGATCATGCATGTCATAAATAGACAATCACAGATGCACAATGTCAATTTATGTGGGCAATAGATATTTAAAGAAATGAAATACTGTAGATACACGTTAATGTTGATTGAAACTGTGAACAATAGATAATTAGTAAGAAAAATTATCCATAAGATTAATATAGATCAACTAATATGGCATAAACAGAAGCAGCATGGCATACATTCTCACCTTAATTAACTGCTGAAAGTAGCGTTTTAAGGTCGACAGATGGAATGAACAAACCAAATCCAGGAGGACAATTTGTTGTTTCAATCATTTCCAAATTAATTTCCAGTTGCCTTCCCCTCTAAGGATCAAAATTAACTGCATTATGTTGCAAGGAGAAGACCCTTCAGTACTATCAGAATTAACGGTAATTGCTTCTCACTTCGACAATCTATAGAAACAGATAAGAAAACATGGTTAATTATAACTTTTAAAGCAAGTAAATTAGAAATATTTTAATGTGGTGATATGGTATTAGTTAGAAGCTAACTTTCACTCTGGTGGAAAGGCCAATTTCACATTGTTTCTGCCACTTCTAAAGCGTGTTTAAAAGTTATCTGATAAGAGTAAGTTACAAATGCCTAAGAAATTGAAGTTTTTGGGACCTGGATTATTTTTAATTGATGCTGTTATTTACCAGTTTGTTGTCATAAATTCTTCCTTTAGCAATACCACACTGTATCCACTCCCAATGGAAAAAAGGCACTTTCATGCTTCATTTTAGGACAGCTACTTTCTGGATCGAATGAACACTGACACAATCAATGCACTGTAAATTAATGCCATCCAGTTTTTTTAATGTTCCTGTGAAATTAATTCGGTAAAATTAATTCTTACGAAAGAGTATTCAGATATAATTAATTTAGCCTCCTCAGTAAATAACGTGCATGACACAATACTAATGTTAATATCAAAGAAATATACTAATTATGGTATGTATGCTCGCCGTAATTAATTGGAAGATCCTCCAAAATGAAACGAATACCATGGTAGACAACTTGCTTTTTCAGTTGCATCAAAATGAACACTCTTCCACTCGTATCATCTGTAAAAATAGAGAAGAAAAACGAATAAAGTACATTATTAAACAATTAAACATGAAATACAGTGAAAATACACGCCCAAGAGCAAGTAAAATTGTAAAATTTTAAAAATGGAGATGAAACGTCGCTTTTAATACAAGAACATAGATAAACAAGAACAAGATGCATCATGAATTCATAAAATTCATAGATTCATATAATTGTTAATGTTCTAGGCACATAGATAACTGTGAAGGAAAAGACTATAGAGCATACATGAAAAAAGAAATTACCAAGACTAATAATTTTACGTTTAAATAAACATAAACATTGGTGTAATATAATATTTAAAATTAAAATTCGTCTATTCCTAAAATTCGTTACGTCAGTTACTAACATGTTACTGATGTAGGTATTCTTCTCGACATTTATTTGAATATTTGTTCTCTATGGTATACCAGTGCCTATGCAACATAGCATACACGGAGGATACATAGATTGCATAAGTTAGGTATTTTAAAAACACTAACAACTATTACCTGTTAAAATAAAAAACTAAATTTTGTAAATTTTAAGAGGAAAACCATTGTGAAAATTTTCTTAGGCTTTAGCAGTGTAAATTCCTTTTAAGCACGGGTTGTAGTAAAGATTTATTTAAATGCACTGCATAATAACTGGAATATAGGTTAGAGATTATAATTTCTTATTCATTTATGAACAATGCATTCCACTGCTGTGATTTAAATGAAAGCTGTTTCACTTTTACTAATTTACATTTAATATTCTTCGATTAAAATTAAGGATGGGCTTGGAATCCGAGCCTATTTCTTTGTGGAAAAATGACTGTAAGTAAATGAAAAATATAACCTTGCTCACTCATTTTTTTTTTGCTTTTTTCAATATCAACCTGTGCAGTATGTTTGGTGTGGGTTTTACGTTTTTATTTTATTTGCGAAGAGAATGGAATGTCTGTACAATCAGTTATACCCCCCAGCTTGTTTCTTTGTAAAATGTAGTCAATTTACATTCAAAATTGCATTTTTAAGGAGCTTATTATTTTTAGTGTACCGTATGCAATTAGATGCACCTGTGCCAATTCCAATAATTTGCAACGAAGCTCCACCTGATTTGCCAAATTATTTTGGTAGAGATTACCATGGAAATATTTCTCATATTGAAGCAAATAACTTGTTAAGTTGTCGACCTAATGGGGCTTACCTTGTTAGAAAAAGTAAGAGTGCTAATGGGGAATTTCACACATTATCACTCAAGTATGTACTTGCTCCTTATACTCTTTATCTCCAGTTTTAATAAAATGATAAAGTAATTTTTTCCTCAGATTCAATGATAAAATTCATCACTATAAATTGTTCTATGATAAATCAGGAATTTATGTGAGAGAGAAGCGCTATGATTGTGTTCGATCTTTAGTAGCTGACGGCTTGGTAACAATGTATCTTGAACTTAAAGCACCTTCATTTCTTCAAAAACTACCCTCTGCCAATTATCATGAAAGTCCATATATGACACTCAACAAAAAAAAATTACAAACACTTACTAGAGAAAGGTCTAAGTATGTTATTATTTTGTGTTGACTTAATTGCAAAAAAGTAGAAGAACTATTTTTATAGGCTGATAAGGAATAATTCATTTTTAAATGCGATTTCTAATATAGAAAACCAGCAACTTACAACTAATGGAGAGAAATATGAAAAAAATCATGTATTTAAAATAACAACTTTTAAGGGGCTTAACTGGTGTGAAATGTGTGGAAATTTTTTATGGGGCTTCACTGCCCAAGGTGTCAAATGTGATGACTGTGGAATTATAGCTCATGGTGGGTGCCATTGACATTTTCACAGTAACAGTTTAAATTAGATATTTTGTTTGTAATTTGAGGGAGATGTTCAGAAAAGTTTCCTAATGACTGCATCCCAGATATAAAATATCTTAGGGGAGTTTTTGGAATTGAATTAACTACACTTTTAACTGCCCACAATGCCAAACTGCCTTTTGTAGTAACAAAATGCGTTTCTGAAGTTGAAGCTAGAGGTTTAACAGTGGAAGGAATCTATCGTTTGAGTGGCTTTGCAGAAGAAATTGAGGCAATTAAACTAGGTTTTGACACCGGTAAGTATGTATATTATTAATTATGAGAATAAATGAGCCATGTAAAAATATGGGTGAAAAATGTTATATTATTTTTAAAACAGATGGAGAAAAGGCAGATTTAAGTCAGGACAAGTATCCAAACGTAAACGTCATTACTGGAGCTCTGAAGTTGTACTTGCGACTGTTACCAATTCCACTTATAACATTTTTGGTTCATCCCATGTTAATAGACGCAATGCGTAAGTATTTCGTTACATTTTTACTGTCACTTATTTAAATTAAATACTGTTATTTCAGAGCAAAAGAGTTTTGAAAAAAGACTGTCTTCAGTTAAGCAGGCCCTTCTCTCATTGCCTAAACCACACTACTGTACGCTACATTTCATGATGGACCATCTTAATCGGTAAAGGAAGCAATATTAGGAAACAATTTGCTGTACAAGAACATAATCTTTCAAATTAAACTATTTTATTGCTCTTATTCTCACAAAAGAACTTATTTTCAAATTAAGCATAAAGTGACTTCTTTGTTTAATTTTAGGGTTTCATTACATGCGGCGATCAATAAGATGAATCCCCACAATTTAGCAACAGTTTTTGCTCCAACTCTGATCGGTCCCCCTGAATCCGGTTCTTTAATGCTGCCTGACATGACCACAGACATTCTGCTAATTGAGACACTTATACTGCACTGCGAAAAAATCTTTGGAACAATTTCAATAGCTGCCCTTTAATATTACAATAATAAATTGAAGATTATTATATATATATATATAGTGTCTTCTCCAACGTCG